CTGTAGTAGTGGATTACTTGACTGGGCAGGAGATTGGACTCGATGATCTCCAAAGTGCTTTTCAGCTCTTATATTCTGGGATTCTATGATTGCCTGCAGGCATTTTGAGAATATATGCAGGTATCAAGAGGATCAAGGGAAAATTAATGATCATATTTCAGAAAACAGGAGATCTTCAGATGGCTAATAATGATGGACCTAAATGAACAAAGGCTTCAGAAAGGAATATGTTGATATATTAGCAGAGAAAGAGGATTCTTTACAGGGGATTCTTCAAGGTTGACTCCATTGATTCTTCAGCAAATATATTTGAAAAGGAATGAATACTGTATCACAGAAACGTTTAGGAAGATAATTTAGTAATTTCATGGTAATTCAGCATGAACAACAAAAAAGAAACCTAGAAAAGTACAGGATGAAAATGCTTGGAGTTTGCAATTCTTAGAACAGTAGGCATCACAGTTATCTTCCACCTATATTCGAAGTCTTGGTACTATCTAAGCCTGGGTACAATCAGTCATATTTTCTGTGGTACAAAATAGTCTGTGCATACCATCCTGTGAAATCATTATGGTGAAGAGCAATGCAATTTTCAGAAAAGTTGGAACAATAATCAATAGAGGGAAACTAGTTTTATTGTGTTAAGATAATGAGAGGACTGTTTGAAATGGAGCAGAGAGAATAGAAAAAGGCTACTGCCCATACAAGTAAAAAAGCCTCTGACTGTTATTGTTGAGATTCTAATGGCTCCTCTGTCAAACTCATTATTAATGCAATATGTGTCCTGAGGATCAATCCAAAATGGCATGATAGTCTAAAAAGTTTTTGTAGATGGGAGACATCCCATAACATAATGCAAATCCTAGATTTAAATTAAATACGAGCCAGTTTGATCTAGTGGTGAAGGCAAGAGGCTAGAAACCAGGAGATTGAGAGTTCTAGTCCCACCTGAGGCACAAAAGCTGGCTGGGTGACTTTGGGCCAGTCACTCTCTCTCAGCCCAACTCACTTCACAGGGGTGTTGTTGTTGTGGGGAAAATAGGAGGAGGAA